CTCTCTCTCTCTCTCTCTCTCTCTCTCTCTCTCTCCATCGATCTATATATTATCGTTTATCTATTCTTTTACCTCCCTTTATATCTCCCCCTCTTCCTCCCTCCCCCCGTCGATCTCAAAACATCCAAGTCCTCCCCGACCAGCTCCTTCCCCCTCCCCTTTCCCAGATCTGATGGGCTTGTCGTCAAGGAAAACAAACGCCACTTCCTTAACTACAATCGACGCGTCTAGAATGTAGGACAGAGACGAGAGGGGGAAAACATTTCAATTATAATATATAATCAAGTAAAGTCTCTTTCAAAATACAATCTAACAATCTTTAATGGGTTTTTTTTTTACATGTAGTTTTTTTAACGCCCCATCGACCCAATTTAGATCACAATTTAGAAGGTGGACTTCCCACTTTGCCTGTTAGGGTCAACCCGGGGGTTGAAAGTGATGCGACATCCCTGTCAAAAGACAGAGAAACTCGATAACATTTCTACCCAATCAGGAATCGAACTCGGATCTCCTGTGTGTGACAGCGAAGAGCCTAACCGCTACTCCACAGGCGCTGTATTCACCAGGTGTCAGATCTGGAGCAGACTGTGACGACCATGGTACCCCACTCTTCCCTGTTGTCTGTCTTCTTGATCAGTTTTGTTTCCCCTCATTGTGATATTTATTGTAACAAAGTTGATCAGGCCATCTGTGCATGTGGTTCTCTCGTTACCTCAGAATTACAAAGTTTTATCTGCTCAGTACCTAGTTTTGAAAAATTGGACGACAAAAATTGTGAGTTTCACATCATGTCAGGCTTGTTCAAATACAATTCTTTGAATACTTTGATAAGGACTCCATATATTCTTAGGATTTTGATAGAGCAGATAGAGCATTCGCTTTCTGACCTTACGGGCTGAGTAACTCATACAAGCCAAAAATGTCAGATAGAACTGTGTAATTCCAAAGTAGTGATCTGTCTTTATCTGCTCCTCTTTCCCTCTCTTTTTCCATATATCAGCAGTTTCTCGTTGCCATTTAGTCTATTCACGTGGCCAAAAATTCTCATTTGTCTAGTCCTGATGGATCAGGTTATAGACTCTTCATAATTATCCCGTCAAATAAGTCTTGTTAAAAGTAAGACAGCCGCGAGTGGATTACCATTTTCTCATGACTCTTGAAATCAATCATACAGCAATAAGTAATTAAATATTGCCTCAAAGTTCATACAAAAATGCGCGAATAGAGATTAGGTAGCTAAACTGTATGTACTTACACTAGTTATGTGTACCGCTCTGAGCTGGCAATTGTTACTACTCATAAAACTGTCTAAAAAGTCTCTCACTTATCTTTTGCAGTTTTGTTTGAATCTTTGTATCACTTTTAGGTATTCGCTGTACATTCGTCCCGCAACACCCAAAATGGTATAAGAAAAGCGGCGGATAAAAGTAAAAAGTAAAGTAAGCTGTTGACCGAATTTTGATCGAGCCTGGTGATTACATACAACTAAATACTAGTTCTCCCCCCCCCCC